GCCCAGCTGCTCCTTCCTTTCACCAGAAGCTTCTGACCCCCACCAGTTGGGCTGAATGCCAAATAAATTGTACATGAGGCTAGTCTCTAAGTAAGGAAAAGTGCATTTCTGTCAATGGTATAGAGTGAGAATGAGAATCCTTATTTGTTTCAAATCAAGTTACTGGGTATGTGTCCAATGCAAAACTGTTAACCTTAATTTAAGCCATGAGGAAATGGGAAAGGATGTGTTGCATTTGGAGGTAGACAGCTGGAGAAGAAATACAGGAGTGAAAGCAGTTATGAAACAAAACTGAAGCAATTACAATCACTTCTCCAAATGTGGAAGCCTGAAATACTTCAGGATACAAGTCCACTAATTACAGATCTAGCAAATGCGCCTGTACAGCTTTACCTCTGTGCTGTCAGGAAATAGGAAAATAGATCATCAAGAAACCTAGTTATTATTATTCTGGACTTCCTAATGTATCAGCAGTTTAAGTGTTGGTATTTTGATCACTCAGTTAAGGAAAAGTTGTTTGTCTTTTCTCTTACAGACCAGAAATAACTTAAAGCTTTCTTAGTTCATTGTCCATCTGTCTACAATGTCTTGTGCTATACTGTCTCTGGGGACTCGCTGGAAAAAATGAATGCTTTTTTTTTAAGATACAAGACTGATATATTTAGGAGACCGGAGAATTTATAAATTAAAAAATATAGAATCAGACTAAAATCCCTGTGAGTACATGTTATTATTGAGATAACACAAAGTTTAAGTGGGCTCTTGAAAGCTCAGTTCCTGAAGCATCATTCTTGATAGGAGAACTGATCAATAATAATTATAGCTCTGTGTATCAACCTGTAATCTCTTCTGCAATTTCTTTATATAGGTAACTGTAGTAAATAAGAACAAAGATCTTTATATCTGCCGAATTAGATAAAATTGCCAATTTTAAAGCAAAGCAATTTTATTATTTAGCCTATGTGCTAGTTTGAAAAGGTACATGCTGGACTAAAATGAGCTACTGCTAAATGAATAGGATGGTTTGAGCTAAGATAAACTCAGTGGTTTTTTACCTAAACAAAATACATGCAAGTAAGATAGTGCATACCATAACTTCCAACAGTTGCATTATACTCAGATGAAAACAAATTTTGTGAGTGAAAGCAACAGAAGTTGTTTGGTTTTTTTTAATCAAATCAAAATACATAATACCTGCCCCTAGGTTTAGTTCGTGTAACTTAGGGGTCTTAACACCAGTAACTAACAAAAACTAGAAAAAATAATGCGCCACTTCTCTCTAAGGTAGATGATCTGCTTTAAGGAAAAGTAATTTCCTTGTAACTGCATTCTAAGCCTTATGTTAACTTGCTTTGCACAGCATCCAACTGTAACATTTAATAAATAATACAGTCACAAAATGGCATATACTGATAAATGGAAAAATGGATCACCTGACTATCTAAAAATCAGTATTCAAACATGGAAGGAGTGATAGGGTTGAAGCTGGGAAAAAAAACCCCATGAGTTTTCTCAAAATGTTTCTTTAGCTTAATAATTACTCATGAATGTTTTATATTCTCCTGTGTAATCTAAGAATTAGCCTACCAGCTTGGTTATTTGTAATAGTAAGTAATACCCTCTAGTGGTATACACAGGAAGAGGAAAAGAAGCCAGACAATGAATGTTTTCTTTTTATCATGAAAGAAGCTAAATAACATTTTCACTTGTATAACAAAGGTTATAACTGGTCTGTCAAGAAGTGCTAGTTAAAATGGAAAATGCACTGCAAGCATTAGAGTTAGCTTTTAGTTAGAACAGCTGGGTCTAGGATATGACCTGAACCACTAGAAGTCTTGAATCGCTTGTTGTTTGCAGACAAAACAGATTGCCACGGCAACACTTGCAGTCTGGAAGGAGTGGTTTTAGTGATGTCCAGGTCAGAGAGAGCTGTCCTTACATCTGAGGGTTACATTTAATTCCTACACATTAAAAGTAATTCTGTAGGCAAAATAGGAATGTCAGTCTCCCACACTGCAGTGTAATGAAGTCTGTATTTCCAGACTCCATGTGCAGTTCAGAATTCATTATAAAAAAAGATTTTCTGAAGAAGCTCATATTCAGGGTTTCCTGCACTTACCAGGTCTTTTGTTTTATTTGCCAATTGTCAAATGTTCAGAGATCGAGTTGAAAACTGTCAGTGCTGGGGAAAAAAAAATCTAACAAATGTCCCTCTTACCAAGAAAAAGCTGTTGACCTTATTAAAAGAAGCATGTAAATACTCTTGAATCTTCCAGAAACCCAGTCTACTAATGTAGAGTCATCTAGGTCCATTTTGAAATCATCTTTGTTTCCATTTCTCTGAAGTCCATGCATACAGTATTTGTCATGATGTGATGATACTTGACTAGTGTCATATAATTCTGATTGTCACTTTGGTTTTGCCCTTCTCCTGCAACCTCATTATTGCTAAAAGATTTAAAAGCTTTTGGTCGTTTGTCATGATTTTCTGGTTGCACTGATTACTTCCTGGCCCCCCAAGAGGAAAGATCCCATGCTATTCAAGTATCACACTGGTTCAGACTTTAAATCGGCTTCTAAACTAATGTTAAGCAAGATGGTAGTCAGAAGCCAATTATTTTAAGGCCTCATGAAGGAAGGATTTGCTATGCCTTATCTTTCTGAGCTGTAGTAATTCTGCATTATGTTCCTGGCATTAGATCAGCTACTGCAGGGTCCTGGACCAGTGTAATCTTCAATACCTCTAGTTATCTCCTCATTACTTTTTTTCTTATGCTGTGGCAAACCAATCGCTGCTCTCTTTATCCTCTTTTAAAGCATATAATAAAAGAATTAAACAAATTGCCCATCTCCCAAGCTGGTGTAACTTCAGTGATGTTAACGTAGTACTATAGGATCTAATTAAACTCACTAACTTTCAGACTCCACATCATAGTTAATAAAACTGAGACAGTAGTTAAAAAGAAAAAAGTTCTGACAAGGATTTATTAATTTCTGTTTGTGAACAAATGTGTCTGACAGTTGGACGATGAGATTGCCATATTCTGTACAGAGAGGTTTTTTTCTAGAAGTCTTCTTTTCACTGTGTTGACAGAACCTGCAGTATAGAAGTTCAGTAGTGGGTGTCAGTTCACAGACTCTAAGCCAGTTACAAAGATGGCTGCATGCCCAGATGAGATGAAGGTTCAGACTTTCTTGCTACTGTTCCTGTATGTTCGATCTTGCTGAAAATCAAGCTGTCTGACACCTGGCACAGGAGGGAGACACTAGGTGTTACCTTCCTGTCTTAAGCTGGCTAGGAAGTTTTATTACCAAAAAGTAAAGGAAAAAAAAAATCTCAAAAAGCTATTTCAAGCTAAAAGCTGGAAGGAAAGAAGCTAGTCAAGCTGAGCCTTCTGTGCCTTTTTTTTTTCTGTCCACGCTGAAGGTCGAGAAAAGTCTCCTTTAAAGGAAAAGAACCTCTATACTTTAACTGGGGGAAAACGGCAGTTCTGTGGTTACTTTAAAAATGCTGCTTTTTGACAGGTGGGCAGATATGGACTGTAAGTTGCATTTTGTGCAGAACACTTGCAAATGGGCAGATATTGTCTGTGAATGGCATTTTGTGCAGAACACTTATTTTTCAAACCTTTAAATACTGATTTATGTATATAAGAAAGACATATAAAATCTCTCAATATTTTTTCCAAGCCTTAATTTCCTCATCCACTGGCAAAAAAATAAATATTAAAGTTTTCTAATCTTCACTTGAATTGTCAAATTCCTCCCAGTCTGATACACTCATAACTTCAGATGGAAAGTCAAGGTGATACTTCACGCGGTCTGCATGCCATTCTGAGAACCATTTCTCTGTTTCCATCAAAATAGCCCTGGGCAAAGTGAGGACGCAGGCAGCCATCCCTGAAATATCATCCTCCAACTGAGGTCCTTCCTCCCAACAGTCTCTCTCTGCATCATAAATGTGGACATAGTCCATGCGGATTCCTCTGTTGTGGGATCTGCCTCCCAAGACATAGATCCTGTTGTCTAAGACTGCAATACCTGGCTCTCCATGTCCTGCAGGAAGTGGACATACATTTGTCCACTGATCAGTGCTTGGCCTGTAGCAGGCAACCTGTAAAAAAAAGAGATTAGCCAAAATCAAACTTGTATCTTAGTGACAGAGCCTAGCCATATGGCAAAATATTTAGGAAGCCATGCTATATCATCAGTCTTTTGACAGGGTGTTGATGATGGAGAGAGCATATCAGTATGTAGTAGCAGTACAGTACTCATCAGGAAACTGTGCATAGTTGCCATATAGCTATGAATCACAACTTCTGACCCTGCTGCTGGGGTAAGAGCTGTATGTCATTCAAAAAACATATACAAAAGCGACAGAGATGGGGACAGATGCTAATATAAGCTCAGACATAATGCATCTGTTTGCATTAGGAAAAATGTGCTGGAACATACAAATACGACAAATCTGCTAAGCTGTCTCTGCACCGTATGCTGGGAAGTTTTAGATTTCATTGGGTACCTCTTTGGCTAACCGCTTTTATTTGTAAGCACCTTTTTATCATTCAGATACACTTTTCATTTAGATTTAATTCTGCCATCTTAATTGGCTTTATAACAGCAGTTACTTTTTGTGTCTTCTCTTGCAGTTCTAGAAGGTGGAATAAGACTCAAGAGAATCCTCTCCAGCCATCACTTACCATCAGGTACTGTACATTTAATTGCATTATACAATGGCCATCCAACATATCCTTAACAACTCTGTCCTGCAATTACACAGTAGTAATTTGAAGATCTTCAACTTAGAAAAAATGCATGTGAGAAGACAATGTAAAGTAAATTTACTTAATGTGCTACTTATTGTGTATGTGCATGCCAGTGAATGTTATCCATCAAAGATGTTTTAAAATCGATAAGAATTCCACGTGCTAGAGCTTTAATGCTTTGTGGGTTAGACTGGATTCAAGACAGACAACAGTAAGTCATTGCAAGTTCTGCAATTGAGCAGGGGAGAGCTGGTGCAGTACCTGTTGCTGGGCAGAGAGTTTTATTTGCATGCTTAGTAGGAGAAAGACATTACGTCAGAGTGCAAGCATCCATAAGAAACAGACTCTTCCAAGAAAGACGTGGTATGACATGTTCTCACCTGGTGAACATCCCTTCTGTAGCCAGAGTCATTGTTGCTTCCTCCAATTACATAGAGCTTTCCTAGCAGTGCAGCCATCCCATGCCAAGCACGTCTCACTGGACCATCTGCTAAAATGTCCCAGCGGTCAGTCTTTGGGTCATAACATTGTAGCTCCTTCAAATAGTCTTCTCCTCTCCTCCCACAAGTAATGTACATCTTCCCATCCAGTGCTGCTCCAGCATGTGCATAGACCTGTAGCACCACACAGGAAAGCAAATGGTTGAGGTCTGGATTTATGTATTTTTCCAGTTTCAAAGTATGGAGTAGACATTAAGGGGGTGACATTCTTCATGAGTTATGCAGATATCAAAATCTGGAAGGATTTTCTTATAGACAATTCCTTTCTAGGTGATTAAGCTGTGTGTGAATTTCTGAATGAAATACACTAGAATTTTTAAAACTTCCAGAACTGCAGTGGGTTCTCATTTTTATTGTTAGAAGATCATTCATACTATTACTTTTCTCCCTAGTCTACTTGGAAGTCTGTCTGTTGGAGATTTTTTTCGTACACAAGCAATGTTATCAAGAATGCAAGATATCCTACTTAGTAGTATTCAGTTGGATCTTAAGCTTTTTATGTTCCCAGCATTGACACGCATTTATTATTTGCGACCCCATACAAACAGTTTATCCTTTTCTGCCTTTGCATCCCTTTTGTAAAACAGCAGTAATATTTATGTTTCTAAGGTGTCCTGAGATTCTCAATTGAGAGGCATTATGAAGTCACAAATATTATTTTGTGCTAGTCACTAGACTCAAAGCTTTTAAAAGGTGTAGTAGAAATCAGCATAGTTCCTTGAAGATTACTTAGGATTTTCGTTTTCTTCCCTAACCAAGATTCATCAAGCAGTTGTTTGTATTTATTTTCCTTCTTTGCATAACTTTTAACCTGAAAGTGGAAATTCTTGCCTTTTTAAGCTATATTAGAACTTGGAATGAACTTTTCCACTTTTCCCCAGTTCCCATGTCACTGCACTATTTCCTGGTTCCTGAGGTCATGACTGCTAGTTTGGCAATTGCTGTTCTAGAAGGATAACAGTACTGATGACAAAAGGTAGCTATTCACTCACATATTTCAAGTGAATAATGGTCTTACATTAGCCAAAATGTGGTTCTGCATCACATAAGCTATTGTCACCAGAACGTGTTACCCAATCTCAGTTCTGTGTCCAGGAACTAAGTAGTCTATAGAAACTGATGTACCTTCTTATTGGGGCCTGATCGCTTCTGACCAAGAGTAAAGCATGTTGTCAGGAGCATGAGAAGCTTCTGCTACTGTGGCTCATACTTTACCTGCCTGGGAGGAATGTGAACTTCTTGTTCCCAGAGGTTGTGTTCAATTTTAAATGGTTTTAAGGATTAACACATAAAAGTACAGGGGAAAACACCAAGAAAACAGGAAAAATAAGCATTTAACCTCAAAATGGAATTTACATATACTATTATTATTCTTTCTTTATATTAATTTATCCCATATACAGTCTACTGTTTCCCATCTGAATATCAGCAAATTTAAAGCTACACATGAGAAAAGCATCTAAAAAGATGAAATCAGGAACTGGTGAACTATAGTAGTGTGTGTGGCTAATGCACTCCTTACCTCCTTCTTCAGAGGTGCCACATATTCCCAAGTGTTGCTTTTAGGGTCATACCTCTCCACCTCCCTCAGGTCTTCATGGTAATCTCTGCCTGCGACAGCATATATATAGTTGTCCACAACACAAACACTGAGGTCAGCATGCTCTTGCTGTAGGGACTGGATCTGGAACCATTTGTTGTGTCGCGGGTCATACCTTGTAAAAGAATGGGATCAAAGAATATTCCTACAGCCACAGAATCATTGCTGGAATACCAGACAGCACCACAGATGTGGGTTACTGTACTGTCTTTGGATGAAATTGAGCTCAGCTGTGAGTGGAGTGAAATTTGGCCTTGTCAGCATTTTATTATTAGCAAAGTTGTTTAAGTCTATTTTTAGAAGATGTACTGTAGCTGATACAATCATGCTATAAAAGTTAGGTTTTCCATTATCTTATACACTGCTGTCAGGTTATATATCAAAATCTCTGCTTGCACAAAGCCATTCTACAAGGTAAAAGTCTAAAAATAGCACAATGACTGAATCTGGAGCTTCAAGAGGCAAAGAAGGGCATAAATATGTGGCAGGTTCTTTGATGTTTTTTTCCCCAAATATCTGCTGCTCAAAGTGAACCTCATGATTAATTTCCAGATTAAAATATCTATGTGGTCTGGAAATTTTAGTTACAGAGAAAACTGGTTGTGAAATGAAACTACACATGACATAAAATAAAGGCAACTCAGCTAAAACTAGGAAAAATGACCACATTATAAAGATAGAAGGGTTTATAACTGGTTTTCCAATTTAATAGGCAATATGATCTAAAACTAATCTTTCCTCCTGCTCTTTTCCCTGCCACAGAAGCATATAAGACGACCCTGTAATGCTGCTATTGTGCACACAAATTCTTGATAATCAACCAGTAATAGAATTTTACTTAAAAATCCTTTTTGGTTGCTAAAAGCCTCTGTACTGGGACCAAAACTACACATGGAGTATTTACAGAAAATCCTAGTTCAAGAGCATCTAGACAGTCTAGGATTCTAGGGAATCCTAATTCACTGCTGCTTCCCACACCTTTAATAGTTCCTCCCTCCAACAGGGCAGAAAGTAGCACACGTAATACTCTTGCATGAGTAGCTGAACAGGCTTGGCTTTGTCCCATAAGCAGTGCTGGAAGCTTCCTGTTTACTATAAGGCTCGTTTCTTTATTTCTTGTTTTCTTTCAGTGAGGCCTGTGCTCAGTTCCTCATCTTTTGGCTCGCAAGCATACAGACTGCACTGCTGGCTTACTGACTCAGAGATGGACAACAGGGTGGTAAGAAAAATAATAGCAGGATTATCCTTATCTTACCTCCAACACCTTGACTCTGCTCGAAAACCACTTACATTGTTGTCTCCACCAATTAAATATACAAAATTATTGAGAACAGCAATCCCCTGGTTGGACATTCTGGGGGCTAGTGCAGCTGTAAAGTGCCTCCACTCTCCCAACAAGGGGTTGAGATACTTGGCTTGATCACTGAGGACAATGGATGGAGTAGAATGCATCCCTCCAAATCCCACTACACACTGGAACTCTGATCTCAGCTGTGTCTGGGAGCTCTGAAGCATTGGCTGAAGACATTCATTCTTGTGGTACATTAATGCATCTGCGACTGTATCTTTTAAAGGACATGGACTTAATTTGTCATGAAGCCTTTGCAGGATCTGGGGTTCCATCAGAGGAAAACGAACTGTCTCAAGTAGCTTAAGGGGCTCCATCAGGGAGACCTGATCTGTCTCCAGTTGCTCTGGAGAATAGTGATAAAAAAGTGCTCCATCATAAACTTCAAACTCATAGTTAACCTCCAAACGGTTGCTGCTGAGAAGGGAGTAAACCTTCTGCAAGGGTAGCTGTCGGTACACCTGTGTCCTTGAGAAAGCTGCAAAGTTCTTCAAAATGTAGGAGTCCAGCTGATCACTCAAATGTCTCAAGTCATAATGGTCAGCTAGTCTGTAAACGTCGAGGATGTTCTCTTCGTCTACCCAGGACATGAGAAAATCACAACAGAACTTAATGACTTCTGGAATCTGCAAGAGAGAGATATTTATTCATTCCAGACACCACTTGCCTCACACTTGAGACAGGTGACAGAAGCCTAAGCCTGGGGTGACTGTAAGAAAGTTGTCCACAAGATGACAGCTCTCCTCACAGTCTGACCACCATGTTCACTTGTGCCCAATTCACCTTTCTTCAGAGAAAAATAACTCAACGTGGGTATGTAGATTAATATGATATAGATCTAGCCACACTATACTACAAGTCTATGAGTCAAGAGCACAGGAAGCCATTTGAAAGGAAAATTAATATTTAGTTTTATCTCCTGAATACAATTTGAAGTTGTATCTGGCAGGAAGGACTACTGGCAAATAAAGAACTAATTGCTGTCCAAGAGCCCCTCTGCTAACAAAGTGGTGCTAAGTGTGCAGAAACCAACCAAAGCAAGCACTCAGAAAGTTTAAGATTTAGTACCAAAGCCTTGAGCAGTGGTTAGCTGCAGGGGAAATTAGAGAAAAAAACCCCTTGTTTTAGAGGCCCATGAACTCTGCACTAAGTGCAGAAACCATAGTGGTAGGATTTCCTGTAGTGACAGGGTCAGGGAAGGTTACATGCCTGTGGACTCCATCTGGGGAAGATCTTGGCAGGCTTGAGCAGCACAACAATTTCTGAGCAGCAAGCCCTGTCCTTTTGCATAGGCCAAAGGTATTCTACTGTAGGGAAGCTTTCATAAGGAGGTCAGTGGAAGTGAGTGCTGTATAAAATAGTCCTCTAGATTAAATGTTAAATTTTTATAAGTAATAAAATCATTGGCACAATGATGATCATGATGTGGATGCACTCATTCATTGTTCCTCCCCTTCCGTAGTTAGTTCCAGTGGATATAGCATCCCAAATAAATTCTTCTCACCAGACCCATGCTCTTTTTCACCCCCTAACCCTCCATCTAACCAGATATCCAAGTTTTCTTTTTTTTTTTCATTGTTGCTTTTGTTTCTTGCTTCTTTTTTGTCACATCTCCCAGTACCTCACCTGAAGCTGACAGGCTGCAGCTAAGGTTTCCTGTACACTGTTCACACTGAGTTCCAGCTCAGAAGTGTAAATGAAGTTCAAGATTTTACACATTGCATTGTAGGAGATTCCATGAATATGAACTTCTTCTTGTTCCATCTCTCTCAGTCCTCCTGCAAACATTCCTCTGTAAAAAAGACAGCATATGATGTGGTAGATTTGCACTGAAATTATTTTCAGTTTGCTTATCTTATATCATCCTGGGAACATAAAAGATATTCATAAAGGTAAAAACCTATCCAGACACTTTTATGGGATTACCTCTTCTCTAAGCCAATGACACAAAGAGCACAGGCCTTTAGGACCTTCATTCTGCAGGAAAATGGTAGGGGCCATCTGAAAGGTATGATTCACAGCTGAAGGACTTAAATACAGACCCAGTATATACGGATAGTAAATGGGAAGAGGCAGATACTGTGGCTGCTGAGTAAAAGGAAAAACAGAGGAACTTGGGACTGTAGGCATTTTTTCTAAGCTAGAGCAGTTCTTCCTCCAGTTAGAAGTTTGTCTGGATTGCCTTGGGATTTGTTTGTTTTAGTCAAATTGACCAGAGGAGTGCCTGACAGTGAGGCACACTATAGGCACGTAACAGAGGTGTGACCCACTTCCAGTGACTTTTGATCACCACAATGGGCAAAGTCTTACAATGCTAAGGATATATCTCTCCTCTTTATATACCTCTAAGTACCACAGGCAGTAAATTTAGTGAATGTAAGCTCAGTGTGCAGTAACGAGCTTTATGTCTGTAGATATAGAGAGATTATAAAGCCATACTGAGTATTTTGAAACACATTCCGCTCCATCTTATGGATCTAATTTTACAGTTAGTTTAGAAGCAGTGTGCCAAGACAGAAGATTTGGATGTTGCAGGTTTGAGTAACATTCAAACACATGCTTGTTACTGCTGTACTGAAGTATACCTGAAATAGTCACAGGATGCAGCTAGAAGTATGCGATGAGCCTCAATAGGTTTCTCTTCTACTATAAGAACTACATCGAAGAGGATGCTGCTGTCTCGGAGAGATACCAAGCCACTGAGCAAGGCCTGAGAGTGCTCTGCACTGCGGTATGTGTTGCTGGTGCGCTGCTGAAGAGAGGGCTCGAGTTGAGCTTTGTGTGGCTGAGTCAGCTCCTGATCCTCCGCCATCCCAGGCAGAAATGTTCAGCCAACAGCTGTAGCAGAATGAAATCTGTGAGACAACAGAATCAGCAAAAGTTTGTGCCTTTTGCTTTACAAATGGTCCTCTGACCCCTGCCTGTCACAGTAAATAAATCAAACCAACTCTTCAGTCAATGGAGAGACAGTTCTACCCTGAAGAAACTATTCTGAATGATGATACTGGAAATAGACAGGTGTATGTCAGCACACCAAACTGGCAGAACATGGTGTTTCAAACAAGTACTCTGACTCTTGGGTTTTCAGTGCAAGAGTCAGAGTACATAGCATGTGGGGATATTTTTTTTTTCTTAGCAAGAGTTTCACTTCCCAACCCCTTACCAGAACCCCTCGTTTCCTTTGCATTTCTGCATAATTTATAACAAAGAACAAAAGTGACATATTGTTTGCCAAATTCCAAGTTACCTAATATCCTCAGATAACTTTGCTGCAATATAAATTGCACCTTCACTCCTTCTCTTGATATTTTACCCCAAAATCTGGAAGCTCTCC